CATTTTCTTGATTAGAAAAATTCCCCAGATAAAGTTTATGAGCAAAAATAGTTTTAAAATGATTTTTCTAGTATCGGTTAGTTTTTGAGAAATTAAAAGCGTATTTTGGACGTGGGACCCGCAAGTGCGGTAAATGCATTATATTTTTGACAACTTGTTGGAATTTTGTATTAAGTGATATTATTTTACAAAGTGTTAAGATATTTTTATTGGAGAGACAAAAGGATAGAGTTGCATTAATGGAGTGACATGTGTCACACAACCATTGGTTGGACTTTGTTGGCAACTATTCACACTTTTGACTTTTGACCAAATTGAGTAAATATCTTGAAAAATTGCTCAAAAATCACCATTTTCTTCTCCTTCATGGCCGATTCTTCCTTGAGCAAAGAAGAAAGAAATTCTTCAACTTTCTAGTTTCCATTTCACTCAATCTTCCAAAACCAACCACATAACTTAGATTCTACTCCATAAAATTCCTCCCTTGGGTGCTAGTAAGTAGTTTAGTGAAGTTTGTTTGAAGACTTAAGGTGTCCAACATCTTCCTCTCTCTTGATTACTTGGTAAGTGGTATATGAACACCCTCCTATATCTAATGATGTTGAATTTATGCCGAATGGTGGCTTAAGTGAGGGATTATGTGTTTTATTTCTTGGTTTGAAGTGATTTGGTTCAGTTTTTATTTTTTTGAGGAATTTTCTGATTTTATGTGATCTTGATGGTGTGGTTGTTTTTGATGGTTGGTAATAAGGGGCTATGGCTCTAGTAGGTGCATATGATAGGAAATTGCAATCAATTTTGGGTTTGGATTGAAATGAGAAAAGTTAGGGTTGATAACCCCCAATTCTGTCTGATTTTGGATCATAGGGTTAGAGGCCGAATTGGACTTTTCTCAAAACATGAAAGTTGTAGGTATTGATGAGTTTGAAGTGCCTGCAAAATTTCAGGGCATTTGGAGTAGTGTAGAGTGAGTTATGCCGTTTTTACTGTTGCTGTTCTGGGTTGATCAGAATGTGCGAACTGCGCTTGTAATCGTCTGTTTTTACTGGAATTACTTTGGATTTGGATGTTGGTGTCTTCTGATAAAATGTAGCTTGATGTCTTAGCTAACATATTCCTTTGGAATCAATGCATTTGGACCTGTATAGACTGAATTGGACTGATTACAGTTTTGTGTGATTTGGGAACCTGCAATTACGATTCTGGTTTGGTATTTGGCATATATGACTTAGTTGTGCTGGGATTTGGACTGAGTGGCCTTCTACATTGTTGTAGCCCTATCTCTTAGCTTTGAAATGGTGGATTTTCCACCTTCATCCGACAATCGTAGCGCCTTTGGTGCCATTACCGCAAAAGGACGTCAAAACTGTTTTCTGGTTTTGAGCAATTGTGGTTAATTGCTATGTGATTGGGTTTGATTGTAGGTTGGAAAATAAAGGAATTAAGGGGAAATGCTGTCCGATTTTAATAGCGTTGGTTACCTTAAGTTTCAAGTGAAAGGCTTGGACTTGAATGATGGAATTGGCTATATTGAACAAGGATTATGAGCCGTGGAGGTGAGTGACCTTAAACTACTTGCAACGTTACTTTAAAATGTTTCTTGCATCGTTTCTTTGATTGCATATCCTGTGTGCCGGCATATAAGTTCTTGACATGTTTTGGCTCAAATGAGTACTTGGAATTCGTGTGCTAGACTCCGACGTTTCCTCCACCGTTTAATGTTCCTGTAGAGCACCAATGGGCTCAATGTTCAATGTTCAATGTTAATGTTCAATGTTAAATGATTGTTTGGAGCGTTGGACGTCTAAGTACCATGATTTCACTGGCTCATGAGAGAAGTGAAAGTGCATTGATTGTTGAAGCATGACATTATTGAAATGAACGATTGTGAAACTGATTTGATAACTGAATTTCTTGGTTACTCGCTGAGCTTCTAGCTCACCCCAAAATGTTTTATTCCCCTCCACAGGGCTCAAGGCGAAGGAAGGGCTTGTAGTGTTTATTCATGGATTATCTCATGTATGGACTGAATTTGGATTTCCTTTTGTGTAATCATTCATATTGGGATTGTATTGAACGTTTAGAATTGATTGGATGTGTAATAGTCTAGTTTTGGACTTCCTCCTGTAGAATAGTTGGTATCAAGGATCAGAGGGGCGCAGTGGAAGCGTGGACGCTTCGCTTTTGATATGTAAAATTTGGGAACCTTTGATGTATATTTGATATAAATATCTTGAAATTCCATTGAGGATTGTAGTGAACGACTGAGTCCCGGCGAGAGCTGGGCAGGCGGCCCGCCGAACCCTCTGGTTCGACGCTTCGCTTTTGATATGTAAAATTTGGGAACCTTTGATGTATATTTGATATAAATATCTTGAAATTCCATTGAGGATTGTAGTGAACGACTGAGTCCGGCGAGAGCTGGGCAGGCGGCCCGCCGAACCCTCTGGTTCGCCTTAGGGGGAGGTGGGGCCGTGACAGTCTTCCCCTAGGGTTGCCTATATCACTTTAATTTGAAGTTTGAATTATAGTTTTGAATAAGTTTCAACTAATTGTGGAAAAGATGGTTAAAGTGGCAAAATTTGTTAGATTAGTTTGTAGATGCACTCATTGGCCATAAATGTCATTATGAAAGGTGTATTCTTAGAAAAAACCAATTATTTAGAAGAAAAATATCCCTGGATCCTTTCTCCTTGTTTAACCAACTGATGGAGTATGTTATTCACCTTCTTAGAAGCTGTCGTAATGCAATAAGCCTTTGGCTCCAAATAAACTTGCCTTGGGACATTGGAACTGATCACCATTTAAGTTATGAGGAATGAATGGAAAAAACATGCCTAGCAAAAAACTCCTCCCCTTTTTTATCAAGTTCCTTGGGGTACTATGATTTCTTTTGCTTGTTGGTCCTTGGTGAATTATCAAAATAAAACTAATCTTTTAATGTTGGCAAAACTCAATCCTCTCTTCTTTCAAATATTCTGTTTACTTCTTTCTAGGACCCATGCAGACCATAACTAAAGAAAAATCTGAAGTTATGATTATGTAGACTCCTGTTAAGGATGGCTTTTGGAAACTTATCATTAGTGGGGCTTCAAAAGCCAATCCTATAAAAACATAACTGTTGCAAATTGGAATTGGAAGTTGATGCTATTAATGTTTTTAAGCTTTTAAACCAAGTTGATACTACAACTTACAATATGCTATGGTTATATCTCATTGCAGGTACCTCCTCGTATTGGTGCCATAAGTCTAAATCAAAGCATAAATTCCATGAAGCAAAGTGGGTGGTAAACCATCTAGCTGATGTATAGATGCTAGCAACAGGATGTTTTTTATTATGATGTTATGCCACAACATTTTTAAATAGTGACAAGATGACTATTTGGGGATTTTATCCTCATTTTGTATTTGGATATGAATGTATATTATTTTGAAGTTCCTTTTATGCAAAATAAGAAAGATGTTATATTCTTTTCTATCTTATTGACTTAAAAAATTATTTTGCACTTGAAATATTTTAATTTGCAATTATTTGATTTGGTTTTCCAGAACTCATTCCTTCTATCAATAAGATTTTAGGTATGAAATAATGGCTTGTTTATCTTATCATGGACAAGAAAGTATATGTAGTTCTCTAGTCCTTTTCGTGTTGAGTCTTGTATCTCTTGCTATTTTATAGTCGTCCTTAATGTTTTACAATTAAATGTACTTCTTTTTCAACATGAATTAGCATTGCTTACAATGTTGAGCTTACTCTTAAATTTGGTCATGAGCGACCCAAACAAAGACATTTTTGGTGCACATCAAGGTAGTGCAAATACAGCTAGCCAATGTAAAGCAATGCCATACAGTAATATATCATTCTTAAACTGATGATCTTGCCACTTTTGTTTAGTTAGCAAGTAAAGAAAAAATTATTTTCTTTCTTTCTCTAATCTCTTTTCTTTTCTTTTCACCTCTGATTTCTTTATCTAATCTCTTTTCTTCTCTTTTCACTACTAGACATTTGCATCACTTGAGCTATTTAGATAAGCCTTCAACAATTACGTTACTCAAGAATGTTTTGTCCAAAAATAATTATTTGATAACTTTCAAATTTGTATATGAAAGAGTTGTTGTGAACAAAAAAGTTGAAAAAAAAGAAGCAATGCAATCTTCCGAGATGTTGAATCAATCTCCTAATGTGTTGTAGTGCTCATTCAATGATTATAGCTATTTATTTAGATATTAAATTCATCTAGTATGTATAGCATATATCAATTGTTGAACATGAAAAAAAGATATCGAGCTTCATTTTATCTCTTATAATTTCTTTTATTTTTAGAACAAGTGCATGATTATCTGATTCAATCAAACTAAAGTTTACGAAACAAATTATCAGCTTCTCTTCAATTACATGTATCTTTTTGTTTATTCTATTTTGTTGTATGCAGAAACAAGAAACATCATAATGATCTCAATAATCTACTCATTATATTGTCTTACATTTTCTTAACAAATTATGTATTTTTCACTACTTAATAAAACTACAACACATAACCACAAAGATATTGACACACCTTTATATAACTTTCATATTTAATATTTGAATTTGAATAACTGGGCATTTTAGGCAAGTTTGAAAATTACACCGTGCATTGTGCTCAGAAATTGAATTATTGAAAATGTGCTTAGAAATTGAAACATTTAGAATTATATTTGCTTTTATCTAAACATTAAGAACTAAAACTATCAATATCCTAATATTTGGTACTAAAATTGCAATTAAAGAGTTGAAGATCGGTGATCTTTTAGGGAAAAATTGGTTGAACGGCCAAAACAGTGCAATTTTAATTGAAATTGTGTTTAGAAATTGAAACATTTAGAAGTAGATTTGCTTTTATTTAAACATTAAGGACTAAAACTGATATTATCCTAAATATTGGTACTAAAATTGCAATTAAAGAGTTGACGATAGGTGTTTTATAAAAAAAATAAAATTGAATGACCATAACAGTGCAATTTTAAATAATTTGGTGATGTTTCTGGCCATCTACTCCGTGCCAATCCTAGAATCCAGGTCCTTCAACTCCATTCGTCCCTCGAATTTAGGTGCTGGATTCGCAGGTCCTTCAACTCCATGCTACTTGACAGAGATTTACTCCTCCGTAGGAAAGGGGCGGACCAGCTGGTAGTAACCTGCACCCTATGAATCCATTAACCCTGACATTTTTGGGCACTTTCGTCTCCACTCCCGGGCGGCGGCGGCTTATATAGAAAATGAAAGTACCCATACTGAATGCAGGTTCGTTTATATCTCTCAAGGATACATTACGGTAATAAAAAAAATCGATAGGAACTATGTTAATTTCTATTAGTTTGATAAGTATGCCTTAATTCATGCTCCATTGATAAAAGAACTTTCAAGTACTATTGGAAATGTCCTCCTTTCCTTGTGGCAGTGATTTTTTCGTTGATGTTGTTGTGATAAATTGCTGATAAATGATAGTACCACTGGTCTAAATTATTTCGTTTGGTAAATGCTAACTATGTTCAAGTCCAACCCGGATGAGTTAAGCTGCCTTTTCTTTCTTGTGGGGTTTTTCTTCTCTTTTTCTCTTGAAATTTATTGGTGTTTTCATAGATTTTGAATTTTGAATTTGGTCATTTTAACTTTTCCAGTTGCCTGAGTTCTCAATCAGTTGTTTCGTGAATGAAATAAAGATGATTTAGTTCACTTGATGAGAATTGGTGGACATTATTCCTCTGGTTTTCTATACTTTGACACTATAGCCTTATGGAATTAGTAGTAGGTTAGTTAGTATAAGCTGCTAAGTTTTTTTGGCAAAATATTATGATATTTTTAGTCTTGAACGTGATTAAAAAATTTCAAAAAAGTTGGTGTTTGCTTTTGGTCTTGTCATCTATGGTATGAAATGCAATCGTGGTAATAACGTAGAGGAGACTATTCACTACTTCAGTGGATAGCTGCTTGCAGGTAGATATGTCTAGCAGTTCCAGTTGCAAGCAAACTGCTTCATTTTTGTTGCTAAGTGGGATGTAGAACACAGAAAATAGAGAACATTTGGCTTCAAATTTTAGAGATATCAGATACGATGGATTTTTGCGTTTGATTGGACATCTTGGTAGTTCAATCAAAGAAAATGACTGGATGGAAGAAACCATTTTTTCTTAGTTCCAGTTTTGTGAATAATTAGACACCTGTCTCCCCACTCTCAAAAAAAAAAGAAGTAAGGAGAACTAGTGGAATAGACAACTGTGTCCTCTAATTGAAGGTATTCAACTATTCAAATATCTCAAATACTTAAAACCTAAAAGGAATTGTTTGATTAATATGAGAAAACAACTTATTCTTGTGCTGTAGGCCTGATGCTTCACCGCTGCAACTTCTGTAATTATGGTGAATGACTAGCAAGTGAATGTAATGGTGAGAGGCCCAGAAAATGAACATTTTAACATATCAATATGCTACTTCGACGCTGAACGCACCCGTATTTCGTTTCTCAAGAAACATCCAAATCTGAAATTGTCATTATTAGATTACACAAATCGGAGGTTCTACCCATGCATGTCTCAAGCGCACAAGAACCCAATATTTGTATGGCACACAGATTATTCCTGTCGACAATTCGCTTTGGCTGTAAGGTGTAAAAATCAGAATAATTCCACTATCTGTGTCAGTTTGGAGAATGGTGGTTATGATGCTTGTGTTCTGGAGAAATCTTACAGCCTTGAAAAAGTTCACCAAGAAACCCCTGAGAAGAATTTCTGGGGAGCTGTGGGTTTAATCGTGGGAACAGCTGTAGGGCCTGGAATGTTGGGATTACCTGCAGCAACCCTAAAATCAGGTCCAGTTCCATCAACATTTGCCCTAATCTCTCTTGGCTCTACGTTATTTCTTCTGTTATTCTTGTTGCAGAGCTCAGCTTTGCAGTAATGAAACAAGATAGTGTTGCTGAAGTTAGCTTCACGGGCCTTGCTAGGAAGACATTGGGAAGTAGTCTTGGTACTTTTGTTGCTTTGGTTTATGCATCCTTGAGCTTTTCTTTGTTAGTGGCTTGTGTGTCAGGCATTGGTGCTATAGTCTCTCAGTGCTTCCCATGGTTAAATCCTATAATTGCAAATGGGTTGTTTCCATCTATGGTAGGACTAACTCTGTGGTTATTCCATTTAAGGCCATTGACTCGGCTAATAGATTTCTATGCATCATGATGCTTTTCTCCATAATAGCACTTGTTGGAATTGGTTTCCTTGTTGGGCGAAACAATATCTTAGTTTCCTTTGTGTATGCTTCATGGGAGATTTCTTTAGTTTTGCCAGCTATACCCATTGCTGTTCTAACACTGGGGTTTCATGTCATCACTCCTTTTATTTGTAAAATTGCTGGGAACACTATACATGACGCTCGAAAAGCAATACTATTTGGTGGAACTATTCCATTGCTTATGGTTCTATCATGGAATACTATAGTATTGGGGCTTGCTGGTACAAACAATACATCGTCAATTAAGGATCCCATTTCACTTTTGCTTTCAGTAAACCCTTCTGCTTTATCAGCCGTTCAAGCCTTTGCATTTTCAGCGCTGGCAACTAGCTTAATTGGTTATGCTGTTAGCTTTCCTAAACAGCTTGCCGATACACTAGAGTTCATCTTTGCTAAATCTAATTCAAGGCAAATGAGAAGCCAGGGACCTCAAGGATTTCAAAATGAAGTTGGAAAAATTGGGCAGATGACATTCACATATGCACAAGGCCCAGGAAATACAGGCAGAATATCTTACAGTGGTCTTAATGTCCATTCTGGTTCCAAATTTAATTCAGCCTGTGTGTGGAATTCATTGAGAAGATTTGTGATGCCTTTTGTACTTGGTCTTCCTGTTCTAATTGCTGCCTTATTTCGCCTCTACATTTTCCAGAGCTCTTGACTATGCTGGGATATATGCCAATTGTTTTCTTTTTGGCGTCCTCCCTCCGGTAATGATGCATGTTTACCAGCAGCAAACAAAACGCAGGTAAGCTGGAATTTTTTTTTTGTCCAATGATCTAGAACAGATTAAAGAATACACTTGTTTGCTACATTTTGTTATGAACATCCCAAGGATGTTTATTGCCGTTCCATGTTAACATTTCCTTTTCATTTATCTATCTTTCGCTATCACGCCAGAATTACATGTCTTCTGTTAATGGACTGAAATTGTCTACTTCTGAAATCTAATAAAGATAATTACACGTGAAGCATTAAAATACGTCATTAAGAATGATGCAAAAGACAAAAGCTTTCCTAAGTTTTACTGTAAGCACAGTCACCGAATAAAAGTTATTTGTTGCTTTAGATATGTAGCTAATCAGTTTTTCCGATTCCTCCGGTCAGCATCTCTTGGGAATTGGATAGAATGTTTCTGAAGTTTAAGGTTTCTTTGAACAGGATAACGATTCTACCAGGGGGTAATTTTGGACTTCTGGTTCTCTTCAGCATTGCAGTCGTATTATCTATTAGGCATTGAATTGATGGCAGGGTTTGTAAGTGTAAGAAAGTGATTCTTGTTACAGAATATATGCAAGAAGATTGTCTGAATCCAAATACGCAACAGTAAATATATGGAATGGGGTTAGTTCCAATGCTTCGTTTCCTAGATCAGTTTTTTAATTCCTTATGGATCCGAACTCAACTATATGTTATGTATGCTTTTTTATATTCCAATTTTACTTTTATGGTTCCCATATTTCAATTTTTACTGCCAATCCAGGACAAGATGTTACTAGTGCTTTAACAGAGTTCGTGTCTAGACTCCAGAGCATGCATTACATGACATTCTCAGTTCATTACTGCTATCTGATTTGTAAAAAGTTGAATGTATAGGTTAATTTTGTTAAATTTGATTTTACCTTCTAATGACAAATGATTTTGGAAGTGCAAGTTACGGTAGGTTGATTGGCTGCTAAATCCGCAGCAGACTTAGACTTGAGCTGTACGGGTAATTTAAGTTTGAATAATTTTAGCTCCATATCGATTGGCCTATTTTTCAAAATTTAGTTTTTCAAATACATTACTATAATAATATACGAACAAAATCAACTCCAAAAATATTTCATCCAAACAATATATGAAAAAAACTCCTAAATATAAAAAATAAATTCTACAACATTTTTTTCTTCCACGCATCACCGTCACCCATCATCACCATCACCATCCACCACAACCATCATCCTTTCCTCCTCCTCTCTCCTCCCTTTCCTTTCTCCTCCCCTCTTCCCCTTCCTTCTTCCTCCTTCCCTTCCCTTTCCCGCCAACCCCGTCCCTCCCCCCCCCCCACTCCCAGATCTAGCCTCGACTAGATCAAGGCCTCTGGTTGTGACCTTTGAGGCACATGAGTTGGCTCACTTCAAGCACATGAGAGCCAAGGCAATTCTTGAGACAGAAGATATAACAGCAATGTTTTCAGAACCTCGACCGGTTGGACCGCGAACCGGCCATGTCACCGGTCCGGTCTAATGCTAAAGCCGGAAGTTCATGGAGAACCGTTGAAACCCGGACGAACCGGACGAACCGTGTGAACCGTTTAGAACCGTGAACCGGCGGTTTTTTAAATTCTTCAACAAAATATTAAGAATGGTATAGCTATGATTCGAACCTGGGTCTCCAAGTTTGCATATGACAATCTAACCGCTAGACTGTAGTTAAGTTTGTTGAGAATTTTACTTGACTAAAAAAATATATTAAAACATCAAGTTCTTCTCTTATTTTTTTTTTTCAATTTTTTCTTCTTAACCATTTTTAACCCAAATATCCACAACAAGATTTTCTCAAGTCTTCACCATTATTATCAGGTTATTATCTTTAGCAGATTGTAAACAAGTTGAAAATTTTAACTTTTGTTGTTTTCCAACATCTTGGTAAGTTTAATTTTTTTCTTTTCAAGGTTTTTTCTTTTATATTATTATCTTTAGTTGATTTTTTTGCATTTTTTTCTTTTTCCCCTCAATTTTCATATGTTTTCCTCATTTTTGTTTTATTTTTATTTGATTAATTAAGGATGAATTTTTTGCAAAAGTAGTGCACATCTGTGTAGGAATTGGGTAGGAATTACAAATGATAACATTGGGCTGGTCAAAAATATGGTAGTTGGCACATAATCGAAGCTATTGATATTTGAATTTAAAATAATTAATGGTATAGGATCATTGAATTTAATATAACATGTTAATTAGTAATGTTTAGTAGCAATTAATTTTTTATGTGTTTAACTGTATATTTGTTTTTCAAAAATTTTTAGTTTTTTTTGAGTTTGAGCAATTAGATTTATATTTTTATAATAAAATTTTAACTTTTTCAGCTTAAGTTGATGAAATTGTGAAGGTGGTGTGGTTGCTTATTATGCCACTGATAAAAGTTTGCTATTCAAATGGTTTGTCTTAACTTGAACTCTTTCATGGATTTTTTTAAGGGTTGTAAAAGAATTTCAATATTTAATTTATTTATTTTTGTGTTTTTATTTGTGATAATTGGTGAACATTTGGATTGTATCTATTTATGTTTATAATGAATTTATGAAAATTTGTGGTGAATTATGATATTTTAATTATATTTATCATTCCATGTTTTATGTATAACTTTTAGAAAATTTATTATTATCATAACTTAAATTAACTTAAAGTTCAAGTGTAGAATGAAACCTGCTTAGTACTTAACACTAAAAAAAAAAAAAAAAACAGAGAACCGTTGAACCGGCCGGTCAACCGGTCCGACCGGTCGGACCGTGAATCGGCCACCTCTCCGGTTCACTGGCCGGTCCGAGTTTAAAAACATTGTATAACAGTGGTCTTGGCAACTAAACTATGAAGCTTGGAGAAGCATGCATCAGAAGTCTATACTTGAAATCTTTTCTTTCAGTTGAAGAAGAACCTAAACAGACAAAGCCTCTATGATTATTATAAATGGAAGTAAACTTGAAATGGCTGTGTATTTTTCCACAACAAGCATGCGGATGACAGAACATGAACAGTGCAGATCAATAGGAGGACCCAATCATTGAAGTGCTCATGCAAGAAAATGGAATGGAGAGGGCTACCATGTGCACACATATTCTGTGTAATGTTGATAAAAAATATGCAATCAATACCAAAATCTTGCATCTTGAAAAGATGGACATGCGAGGGTAAAGAGGAGGTGGAAAATGAAGTTCTTCCAGAGATGTACTGAATTGGGTCAAACCGCAAGATTTGGAACTTTGACATCAATTTGCAAGGAAATGTGTTTCTTTGCATCCTATATGGACGATGGATTTGCTCGTGCAAGTAATGCTACAAATGGACTAATACCTAGAGGAGAGCTTGGGTGGAGTGTGGTTTGACTGTGGCACAAATGGAAGATCGGTCGTAGACTCGGATGAAGCACATTTAAGGAAATGTTATGTGAAGAACCTCGAGAGGACAAGAACTAAAGTGTTTCTTTGCATCCTATGTGGACGATGGATTTACTCGTGCAAGTAATGCTAAAAATGAGATTAATACCTAGAGGAGAGCTTGGGTGGAGTGTGGTTTGACTGTGGCACAAATGGAAGATCGGTCGTAGATTCGGATGGAGCACATTTAAGGAAATGTTATGTGAAGGACCTCGAGAGGACAAGAGCTAAAGGTGATCATGTTCAAAGTAGCAAGAGCAAAGTTACTAAGTGTGGAAACTGAGGGTTAGTTGTCGTTTTATACATAGCAGTAATTGAAAATCATAAATTAGATTATCAATGCATTAGGTGTAATTCCATTCATTTTTTCCCTAATCATTGGTTGCGTGATGGCCACAACAAAAGACATGTCCCCGTAACTTGTGCGGTTATAATGCATATGGCAGTTCAGGAGTTGAAGCAATTCATTGTACAAACCCAAGATCAAGAAGAAAACAAATAGATGTATTAAGAATCCAAAGCCAAGTCACCAGTGTTCAATACAATGACAACATGGGTGACTCAAGATGCCAGGTTGGTGCATCATCATATGGTGCTTTTCAAGGAGTTTAGAATCCACTAGTTCATTACTTTGTGAATGTTACATGGAGTAGGTCTAGAAGGAAGCAGCAGTAAAAATTGTAGATGATACTCAGTCTACATAGGTAACAATCACAATAAATCCTTTTCTAATTGTAATGAATCTTGTCTAAGAATTTCTCACACGTTGCATGGGCCTTGGAGTGGGTGGAATGGAAAAAGATCATACAAAATTGCTGGTGGAAATGAAACAAGTTTAATGGATCCGAATATCTATTCAGCTCCAGTTTTTGGACAAGTAAATCACTAGGCTTTATTATGACAGGGATCAAATAAGGCTTTCTTAGTGGCCCACCGTCTAGCATACAATGCTTATTCTAGACTACGTACACGAACAACTGCAATAGTAATGGTTAGCTATTGTGGCATGTAAAATCGAGCTTTGATTTTTACATTGAAGGAATG